CTGTGTTCCCACACCTGTGCTTCCCCACAAGCAATCTGCGCCAGACCCGAGTTTTCTCCGTCGCTCCCTGGATCATCTGCTAACGACCGGTAATGCTCCTGCTTCTCTCACTCCGCTGCGCTGACCACCACACGGCCTGTCCACCCCAGTCGTCCACAAGACTCACATCGACGCCCCAGCATGGTTCAACCTCATCCTAGCACTTTTCCATTTACTGCAATAAACATAATTTCCCTAATTCCATGTCTCCTGAGTGTTACTCTGCATGTGGGTCAGAAACCTTAACAAAACCGTGACACCAACTCTGTTAGGGGTGTATTTAAACAACTGCACGTCCTCTACAGCTATACATCACATTTTGTATTTACAGTTTTCGAAACAGGAAGCAGGTCACAGCAGTTTAGCAAGCAAGGATGTTACAGTTTGGAGGGATTTAGGGACTGTCCAGCAGCAGCTAGCTGTGCCTTGATGACCGCACACAGCTCTGCAGATGCCAGACGGCAACTGCAGGCTCTCCAGATAACTCCTTAATGTTCGTCTAAGTATAACGGTTGTTTGCATGCCAGCTAACAAGTTTACAAGAGTTTTCATTTTTCCTTCCATCTTTGGAAGATCCTTGGGCCGAGCTAACAGGTCCCAGACCAGTCAGCTCACATAGAGACACAACTGATAAGAGCGCTCCATTTATAAGGGCTGGCTATTATCGTTTTATCATTTATCTTTGCTGCAATACATGATTTACCATTGTATTGGTAACTATTACCATTGTGCACTGCTTATGAGTCTCCCTGTCATTGTCTTAATCCAGCTCAGTTTGACAGCAACACAGTCAGTTGTGTCTGTCTGTTCTTGTGCAGCCTTAATTTATGAATGTATCCTTATCTGCTTTTCAATGTTGCCATGAAAAACACGAGGCAACCTGAGACAGCACAGCAACAGGAAGTGTAAAAGCATTATCACGTGTATGCAGCTATGAAGGCAACATAGGACATAAACCTTCTGATATCAGTCATTTACAGAGTATCTCTGTCCATCTGAGGCCCTGCCAGCTGTACTTAATATCAGTGGCACATAATATCAGGTGAGAATCCTTTAGCAGGTCGGGGTTATTGAGCGATGGTTTGTCAGACACACCACAGCTTATGTAACATGCAGGTTAGTCACGTTCTCCTCACCTGGCTCAGCCTCCATGAGATGAGATTACCTCCACAGTAAGACTACAGCCTCCATCTGACTTGATGTTTGCTCTCTGGCTGCACAGTAATCTGAAAGCTGCATCACAAAACGTGGAAATGGAGTTTTATTGCGAAGCTCTGGGCAGCTGCCTGCTGAGATCTGTATCTATCTTATTAATTCATGTTTCTGTGACTTGTCATAATATCTCTATATCTCCCAACCTCCCAGCCAGGATCTTGAATGACACTCTCCCAGACTGTATGAGAGAATATTCCCGCCTCTGTCTCTATCAGGCTGCTCCTCTACTACAGACTGAAGCTTCTACAAATGCCCAATAAGTTATTTTTGTGCTGAGATTCCTGGTCGCTGTGCTTTTCAGAAATCTGTTCCGCCACTTAAACCATACTGTACAGTCATTCTGCATCATCCAGCTGCAGCTTACATTGCAAATCAAGTTTACATGACCCACTCTTTACTGCTGTGATTCTGCCAAACCTCTCTTGTCAGCACCTTACAAACACTGATATACTTTCGGTATTTTGATTTAGTTATTTAAGGCAGATTAAAGTAGTTACTAGTCCTCATTCACTACTACTATAGCTTAAATGGATGTAGCCTTTGTTTCGCTTCATTTCTGTTGCTTCATATTTAGTTGCAGTTGAGAATTTTCAGAGTAGTTTCGAAAACATCACTGTCATTGACTAATTGTTATAATGCTGCTATTTACAGTTAAAGTTTATGTTCCGGTTGAAGTGAAAATGTTTTTACTTAGTTTTAAAAATCTCACTGTGTCAGAGTGCTCGGAAGTGTCCTACATGTTTCTGTAGAACTGAACTGGATTTTTTTTTTGGTCAAACAAGTTCTAACTGACTGATGATGAGCTCCACTTATGTACCTGTGATGCAGTCCTAAGATCCATCACCGCACAGTTTCACAATCATTCACACCTCCAGGCATGTAAGTCAGAGGATGCTAATGGGCCATGAGCCATGCGATAGGGGTAAAAGCAATATTTGGGAATCTCCACCACTCAGTCAGAACTGAGGAAGCCTCTTTGGTAACAGGTGAAATGTCTTAAAAACCCAAAAGAATTCCAGTTGACTTCTACTGAAGCCTTCAGGATTTCCTTTACTTTGATGACAGAGAATCTACACAGACACATTTCCCAAGCGCCTCTTATCCATAAAGCCCAGGGTTGCTCATTTGAGCTGAATAACTTTGCAGCTATCACTGGTTATGTTTATCAAAGGTTTTTGTCAGGTATAAATCTCAAAAAAGTATCCAGAGCTTAGATTAAATCACAGCTTGGAAACAGATCAGACTGTGACAGTGCCATTCTACTCTCATAACATGTTTTTAGCAGATTTAGTATTCGTTTTTTTTTTTTTTTTTTCTGATTACTTGGAAAGTATTCTAAAACAGCACAGCGGCTGTCTAATGCCACTTCTCACACTGCTAAAAATGTCTTGTGATTTCCAGTGGAAACAGTTTTGTGGTTAAACTAGACACCATACATTGTGAGTAACGGAAACAAGTGCTTCACTTTAAAGTACCCTGTATTTGTATAAGTTCAGTATATCCTTACAGTTGAACAGACTTTTTTGTCCCATGTAAAAGGTTACAGTGTACAATGTTGCTGAGTACATAAGTGGTCAGCAAATGTAATGGCCCCTATTTTGATAGTTCTTTTGAGCAAGTTTTTACATTTTTAATTATTATTATTATTTTTTTAATTCTCGACCCTTACCCTCTTTGCATTTCTCAGTTTGTACATCCTCAGTTCCTTTCCTGACTCCTTTTCCTACGTCCCTCTCACCAGAAGCACAAAGACAGACATGAGGAGAAACGAGTGAAGGTAATTTAACAAAATGAGATGTCCTTGTTTCTGAGCTGTTTCAAAGCGACATCAGTTAAATGTCGTGTGGCACCACTGCATCATCTGTCCCCTGGTTGTTGTCCTGCTGTATTTTATGGTCTGTGTCAGATTAGCAGAACTCATAATTCAATTCAGACCACGGTGTGATGTGACAAGAATATACAGATGTCATACTTTTTGATTTTTCTAGTTCAAACACACCACCATGTAGTATAAATGAGACTTCTGCAAAGGATGTAGTGAGGATACATACGTACGTCTGCTCTCCTTGCTCTTCTGTCCTCAAGATGCATTTTAGAAACTAAGACAACCCTTACGATGGCGCACTGAGATGGATTTCCAGGTTACAGGCAGGAGGACGAAGTATGGAGGATTGAGAAGACAAGGAGGCCGAAAATAGTGAAATGAGATCAGCCACTTGTCATGCTTTACCTGACCAGATGCTGCCCTCAGTTTTCCCTGCCATTACCCCATCAATTGTCACCTGCCCCCGATCATCTAATTAGTCCTTCAGTACATATCACTGCTCTTACAACTGTTTTCAGACTTACCGTAGTGCTGCAGCTTTGGTTTGGTCTCTGGCTGCCTGATATATTGCTATTCCCTTTTGAATGGTTGACTTTTTCTTACCTGCTTGATAGCTTTGTTTTGACACTTGGCAAAGTAAACTGCCTTTTCCTTCCCTATCTGCATTTTGCACTGCTCTTAAGCCATTTCTTTACTATTTTAATTAGAGGTCAATGATCACCCAAAATATTAGCTTTGTTATATGTTCACAAAACAATCCCTAAAACCCATGCCACTGATATTTGAAAAAAAACATTTCCTAAATGAAAGTGATGGTCCTGGTGAACTGTTGACATGATGGAAATGCTAGACTATGGGTAGATTACATCACACCTCAGGATTGCCTGTAGCAGAGCATGAAGCCAGCTCTGATTGTGAGTAATGCGGATTGCTGTCGGTCATAATCTGTGTGTTTCCTCATCCTTTTGTCAGAGAAAACCATTAACACACAATATCTTTGTAATCTACCTTTTATTACAAAAAACAATAAACCTTCATCTTAATTTCTGTTGCAAGTTACCAATAAATCACTTTGTCTCATAGAAATGAAATGTGTCACTTTGATCACCGTAAAATTTAATAAAAATAAACATTATTGGAGGTGATTAACAACAACAATGGTAAGGTGTGCCTTATCTTACTCAAAATATATCAGCTTATTATTTGTTGTTTACATTATGGAACACAGCTATGAGAACAAAAGTATGTGTGTAGGAGGGGGTGGACATGACACATTAGACTAATACACTTCTCGAACAGTATCTCTGTATAATGAAGAGGCCTGACACAGCTGCAGAAAAATATGTCACATACTGTACGTTGGACAGGTCATGCTCATCAAATCATCCCCTCCCAAAGAAAAAAAACACATGATGTCACATGTCTTCCACATAACAAATGATACTATGTTCAGATGAACAGTGGATCACAGTGAAGTGACGTTTATGGTTAGATGGACAGAACTCACAGTGGAAATGCTGCCAAGAAATGTGAGTGTGGAGTGTTTGAAGAGGGCTCTGCGCGAAGCAGAGCAGAGGCAGCCCTGCATGTGGCCACGCTTCACAGGCTGTTTGTGGATCAGTAGTGATGCTCCCATCATTCACCTAAAAGCTCATTTCTCTTGTCCACACTTTGCTGTCAACAGTCCCATCGCTTCATCTTCGTTTCATGTCCAAGGAGCTTTCTTCTCCACTATTTTATCCAGTCCTGTGTGTTCGGCTCCTGCATCCTGCATTGCATTGCTTTCATTCCCTGCGGTGATGTGTTGCAACATCAATTAAATGTGACCCTCTCTCCCTGGTGGGCACTGACTGCCACTTGGTTTCTGTTTGGTATAGAAAGTGAGAATTTGCAGGTCAACATAAATTTGGTTGAAGTCTCCTCAGTGGGCCAACAGTAAGGGGAGGAGCTTATGCAGGAACAGTAGAGTGATGCAGAGGAGGGGGTCCATGGTGCTCATCATGCTGCAGTCTGGATGAAAAGGAGACAGGAAGAAGATGAGGACAGACGATTAGAAGAGTATTGTATAGAACAATTCACACTTTAGCTCCTCTATCTGCATCCACCAGCATGCAACATTCCAGCATTGTGTTTCATGCATAAATTAATAAAAATCTCAACAAAACATAAAAAATGTCCATTTAGATGTTTTCAACTATGTATCATTTTGAGAGAGATATGGTAGTGATGCCATTCATCAATAGTTTAAAATTTAAAACTAAATGGACAAAGATAAAAATTCCTAATGGATATCAGCAGATATCATTTCCAGATTCCATCCATCCATCCATTATGATCCTCACTAGGGTCGTGGGGACTTAGAGACAGACAACCAAGCACACTCACATTCACACCTACAGACAATTCAGAATCACCAATTAACCTCAACATGTTTTTGGACTGTGGGAGGAAGCCGGAGAACCTGGAGAGAACCCACGCTGAATGGGAAGAACATGAGGCAACATCCAAGCCATGAGGCAACAGAGCTAACCACCAAACCACCCTGCAGCCCATTTTCAGATTCCAGATTAAGACTATTTTTTTTTTTAAATTCTGAACTGTTACGTCTGAATATGCAAATGAGGTGCAATTGTGCAAGTGAATACTGTACTTCCAGAACAGAAATCTGAACATTGGATGAAGCCAGCTTTAAAATTGTCATTTCATTCTATTTTTTTTTCTTTTCCTTTTTTGACTTATTCAAGTTAATGGTTTTCACAGCAGGAAAATTTAGGTATGCCTTCTATTGCTCCATAAATCACAAAATGCTGTCAACAGCCCTAAGAAAATTATTTTCACCATGTTTTTAAGAATAAAATGCTCCATAAATTTGTCCCCTTCCTGTCATAGTGCCCCCTATCAGCTCTGCATAGTGTAGGAAGTGCAAAAGGTTGGTTGCCCAAGGTCATGAATTTTAACGAACCGTGTAAATTATGAGCATAATTTAGCACTGATGGAGCATACAGGAGAAGCACTTACCACAGTCCATCTAACCACTATTTAAACTTTCACTAAAAAAGACAAATGACACCCACATGGTGGCAGTAGAGGTAAAACCTCGGAATCTGCATTTCTGAACCAAATTTCCAGACAATCAAACTGGCAGTTGTTGAGATAATTCAGACAAAACCAAATTAGTGGACTAACATCCACAGAACCTCGCCTTTCTCATGACTGTAACTTAGTCAAAAGCCATGACTGGTAACACACAGGCTTTAAAGGATCTGCTGCTAACGTACTGGAGTCTGATACCACAGAGCACCATCAAGCATCTGGTTGAGTCCAGGCCTCAGTGGCTCAGAGCTGTTTGGTGGCTCATGGAGGACCAGTAGGCAGCTGGTCATAATGTTTGGTTGTCACTGTTTACACCAATGCAGTGCCCATACAAAACAAGCCAATTTCTTGTCTTCCAGTATTGTTGCTTGCACCTTTGTCAATATCAGCGACCAGCCACTTATCCAAACTACCTCACCAACACTGACTTTATTTAATTATCAACATGTTAACAATAAAACTCAAATTACCTGATGGCTCATTACATGTTACCAGCAACACTGAAAGAGTGTGCTGCTGTCCCAAAAGATTTTTTTTCTCAGAATTTTAACAATCATATAATCATAATCATCTCATTTCCATGTAACTGATGTGTTATGATATTGATAGCAAAATAGGCCCTATTTGTCAGGTGCCTGATGAGAGGAATACTGGTGCTCAAATTCAAAAGGACACACAGTTAAATGCAATCAGTGTATACTACAGCTACCCTTCCCTGACCCGGAGAATCTGTATTGTTAATTAAGTACATGACCTAAAAACTGCAAATGGTTGTGACATTGATTCACTTCATCACTGGAGTAATATAAAATTTAAATCATCACTGGCACATATGCAAATATATACAAAATATGAGACAAAGGAAATAACTGAAATGAACATTAGTTGAATTCATATCTTCACTCATACATGATCCTTAAAGTAAACAAAATGTCTCTGTACATGGGGACGAAGAAGTAACATTTTGAAAATCAGTTTTAAGTGATTCTACTGACAGAACACTCTCTGTGTGAAGATAATTCTAGCTGCCTATATCATACTTGGCTGAGGCAAAAAACAGACCAGAGGTTGCTGTCTGTGGCTGCAGTCTACATGAACCATGTGAGGATGATTTCTATTCAAATGCTTGTGCAGCAGTTTGCAGTGCTTGCAGAGGGCAGTCTTCCTCTAAAATACTCTGCGCCACAATCGTCATCAGTGACATTGGTTTGATGCTGATTCACGTGAATTATTCAACGTTTGTCTATTTACGTTTCTTAGTAAACGTTCATCTATATGACTCAACACTGCACTGGAACCGGAGCCAAGCAACACATATGCCAAAGATTTAGTAGATTGGATGAAGAGTTGTTGGGAAAAATAAAGAACAGACAGACACACAAAGACATAGTAAGATTCCTCAGGGTAGTAGTGAGTTATACCTTTCAAAAAAACGACTTATTTATGTTTAAGTTCCACATATAGCACTATGTTTCAGGCTGCCCAACCACAGATGTGACCAAACCCAAAATGTTTCACCTGATTAGACTTGTCTCGTATCACCAGATTAATGGTCCTACATTTCTATCTGAAAGGTGTTTTCAGTTATCAGTCCAAAAAAATTATCAAATGTAATTGTTGTGTTAGCAGGATTTGTACTTTGATGAATGGCTTAGCGTATGAGGTCAGAAGCTAAGACCTGGCCTCCCCCGCTCACAGCTGGCCTCAGCAGCTCACCTGAAAGAACCTCTCTCCCCCTCCCCCAGATTAGTTTATCTCTCTCCAAGCCTGCTCTGTGTCTCTCTTTAAACCAGCAGTCCAGCACATCTCTCCATTTCACACATCCATGTTGACTCTCCCAGGATTCCCCAGAATGTTGTGCTTCTCTCCTGCTGTCCCTCGATTTAAATGTATTCTTGTAAATCTCCAGTATTTATAACCTGGGCAAAAAGTTTGTCAGTTCTCCCGCTGACCCTCGATTGACCCTAGAATACACAAGTTTATTACAGTCTTGCAAGCTACGCAACGGCCCCGTGTCTCCCTCATGTCAAAGCAAATGTTTACAACTCTAATAAGAGGATGAAGTACAACTATCCTTCTGGTCATGGAGACAAAAAAATAAAACATGGTGAACTGTGGACATGGCAGTCAGGTAAACGTGTGTTCTCACCTCTCAGAGTTTGACATCAGAAAACAACAGTAAGTAAAGTTGATGTCTGTCTGTGTCTTGCTTGCCTGCAGCCACTTCCTAGGCTGTTCTGTGACTTTGCGCCTGACAAAGGTGAGACTGAAATACCTAATAATTATTACATCTGATATACGCCTACGGGCAACAGCGTTTCTACACTACAACAAAGACAACCACATTGCACACAAATGGACTGAAATTAAAGGTCAATTTATTCTGAGACTGACAGATGGAGCCAACTGGAGGGTTTTAATGGGAGCACTGGGGTGTCAGCTGTGACTGTGTCACAGTGACTCATGGGTCAGGTCGGGTCCACCGGCAGCATTTTGCTTAGAGCCTCTAAGAAGTCACGATAGGCTCTCGAACAAGTTAACCCAATTCTTGTAGCACTGATATTTTAAAACAACTGGTTGCATAGTGGTGATTTCAGACAGTACTGTGTGTAACCCTGTCTGACTGTAAGGGCTATATGGACAGCGTGAGGGGTGGTAGGGCGATGCCGGGAAGAAATCTCATTGCTTTTAAATCCCAATATTAGCAGGCATGACTAGACCCTCCAGCCAACTACATGGTGTGTCCTCTCAGTCTCATAAAGACTCCACAAAAAGAGACACATTGTCAAATATACATTTCATATAATAATCTACTCTATGCTATGTTATGACTCAGCAGAGTCACAGTGGCCTGATGAAGTCCAAGGTATTTACAAGATGATCCTTGAAAACCACAGCCTGTCCCTCTCTCTAATCAAATGCGTTTTTGTACCTTTAGTGTTAGTATTAAGTTTGATCTTACTATATTTACCTCAGATCTTGCTCATGTTAAAATACTCTGCAAAGTACTTCCATTAAAATACTAATGTTAGCGACTTTTAAAAAGACTAAATATGAACTTCTATCTTCCCACTATAACTGAAACATTTCTCCTTTAAAGTGACCATTCTTGGATTTCTTTTTCATTTCATCACACTATTTTAAATGGCAGACACAGTCACAGTTTCATTATGCGATGACAGGACTTCAATAACTGTAAATGTAAAGCCTGTTGGATTTTATACTTCTGTAGTAGGAAATAATCATGTCTACAGTCCCTACTTTGTTCTCCAACAAACTCATCACCAGACAGTGATCATTTAGACACTGTGAGGTGTCAGTGATCTACCACTGCTCTACAAATCTCTGAGACATAAAGGCTGTCTGACACCTGTCTGGATGTATGGGGATAGACTGTGACCTTGACATTTTAATCTCAGCGGAAAATTCATGCTCACATAGCAAGTTTCTTGTTTGAGACATTTGTCAAATACATTTCTTATCAACATAGTTTGCAATTTATTTTATTGTTGCTCCTCTTCAGTTAGCTAATACCAATGCATTATATAGAACAGGATTTGTCACCCGGGCTGCAAGGTGTCTCAGTGGTTAGCACCGTTGCCTCGCAGCTAGAAGGTCACCAGTTCGCGTCCCGGTGAGGACACCCGGGATCTGTCTGCGTGGAGTTTGCATGTTCCCCCCCGTGCAGTGTGGGTTCTCTCCGGGTTCTCCTCCCACACAGTCCAAAAACATGTTGAGGTTAATCGGTGATTCTAAATTGTCCGTAGGTGTGAATGTGAGTGTGCTTGGTTGTCTGTCTCTAAGTGTAGCCCTGTGATGGACTGGTGACCTGTCCAGGGTGTCCCCTGCCTTCGCCCTGAGTCAGCTGGGATAGGCTCCAGCCCCCCACAACCTTAGTGAGGATTAAGCGGTGTATA